AATATCGATCGCTAAAAAATTACTGCAGTGTGCCCTTGCTGTCTGGAAATGATTTAGTAGTACACAACATGATCAGCTTAAACTATTATGTGCTCTGTTGTCCTTTTTAACATGCGAGTTCAGGTGTACATGTAGTAATAATAGACAAAATCTGTATGCTAAATTTCAGCTACCGGGTCTCATTTATCTTGTTGACTTGTATTTTGTTGATCTACACATTGTGGCTTTTGCAGTACCTTTATACTCGGATTTAGTTTTTAAAATTCTGTAATAAAAGGATGGCTTGTTGTCATCCAACAAGCCATCTTTGTTTTTTCTCGTATAGACTGTGATATGATTAAGGTTAAAGGAGGCTATTGGGGTCTAGCAACGCTGCAAACAATCAACATGGAGTTTCGTTATTCTTCAGTACTTTATTAAGAATGGTTAGGTTGTTTTGATTTGTACTCAAGCATCATTTATTTACGGAACTTTGTCTACGTGTTTAAATTTTAGAACTGTTCTCATTTATTGTGATGCTTTGTTGTGTCCAGCTGATTGAAGATGCATTCAAGATATTCAAGAGTGAGCAACACCCTCAAGATTCGGATGCGAAGAACATGACCTCCTTCTATGACTCTCCGTCATCTGTGACTTCCTGCTACCTCTCACGTGGAATTATGACACGTCTGCTTACCTCTGGCATAGAAAACCCAACCACAGAAGAGTGCTGTATATCTTAAAGGGCCGTGCACATTAGTTGTCTGAAAGGTTTTATTTCTTATATAGTCGCACATTGGGCACCCTGATCCTGTTGTCAATTCTAGTCCACCCTGCAGCCTGGTGTGTTGAACTTGTTGATGTAATAGTGGTCTGTTAAATATGCTACTCTTGCCTACCTTCATATCCCTTTCCACCTTTTTTCATGCGGCACAGTTTGTGTAAAAGTACCAGGTCAAAGCCACGATGTATAATTGGTTTGACCGAGCACTCCATCACAATGTGTGCTTTGCTAGTCATCCAACATAACTATTTCAAAATAGAAAAACTTCTCTTAAAATTTACCCAGAATATTTCCCCTCGGTTATGATTGTACCCACCGCATCCCCGCTGTACTTACGCTCAATTTTAAGTCGAATGCTGTGGCCAGCTGTACTGTAAATTCTACCAGTACAAGGGCCATATTGGTGCAAGTGTTTCTCTTCAGCACTGCCCTTGCTGTAACATCTTGTTCTTTCTGAACCTCCCATCCTCAACAGCATGCTTCTGTTCACGTTGAAGGAGCTGGTTCATCATGGAATCAATAAAAATGTGCACCTTCACCCACAGTTGTCATACAGCTTACTGAGTACTGCTGCAGCCTTGGAATAGTGCGCTATGCATCATTCATTGGTTTTATTTATTCAAAGACTTCATTGGTTGATTGATTTTAGTATGTCCTGCTCACTGCAGGCGTGTGAGTATGTCTTCTATGAGAGAACCTGCTTTTTAAAAACTCTTCTGGTTTTTCTTCCTAGCCTACCCAACTTGGGTGGAGTGAAAATGATTGCCCTCGCCCCCTTCTTTTTTTAAGGCTTTCTACTTCATGAGCACATTAGAATTTACGTGCTATTGCCAGCTCAAGTAATAGTTTGTAAAGACTTTTAGGGAAGGTTTGAATTTGAATGGGTTCTGGTGCTTTAGCCTTTTCATGGTCAACAGGAATCATATTTCATGCCTGCTAAATCAGTATTGTAACAGAGTCATGGGAAACATCATTTCCACCAGATCTCTGTGTTGCCATCTTAAAAAAATATATAGCAACAACAAAGTGGGAATACAGAGATTTTGGTTGGTTGGTTGTAAAACTTTATTATGGTCCTGCAAGGCGCGCGTTAGTGTGCACTGGGCAACTCCCATGTCTGGACCGTTAGGCCAAGCTTTTTGGCCGCTCCATGGGCCTGCAGGACGAACCGAAGTTGGTCAGCCAGGAGGGAGCTGCGTAGGCCCATCTTTTACCTGACCGAAGTAGTGTTGGGGTTAGTGTACATTTTCTTGCTCACCCAGAGCATGTGCACCAGTGTGGCTACGTCCACACATGCAGGGCAAGAGTCATTGGGGAACACATCAAGATCAATAGCGTGAAGGGAGCTCAGGTTAGGGTACATGTCCATCTGCAGTAATCTGAGCGTAAGGGCCTGTGGCCTAAGTTTTGGATGAGAGAGTGGATATAGACTTTGCGCGAGGTAAAAATGTTTTGTTATTTCGTTGTATGTGGCAGGCGCATCCCTGTTTTCCGCAGCTCCGTTGTCCCCGAATCATTGCCGGGAACCGGCGCGGTTGGTTAGCGCATGCGCAGTCTCGTGGGCAGACTTGAGGTTGGGGGAGCACCTTGAACCTGTCCAACATGTGCCGCAAACCATATCAGTACGTGATGCTTGATACCCTCGAGTCCACCACTCTGGAGCACGCACAGGGCTTTCTTGGAGATGACATCGCGCTCGAAAACGTGGATGACTGACCGAGAGTCACTATAGATGACCTCTCTTTCACCATCCAGTATGGGCAGGGCGATGACCACTTGCTCGGCAATCGTTGGATCGTCAGTGTGAACCGGTGCGCACTTGGTGATTTGCTGTTTGGAGTCTACAACGACTGTGGAGAAGGCGCGGCTCCCGCGGTATGCTGCCACGTCAACAAAGCTGCCGCTGCGCTCTTTGTGGATCTGCTTGAGAAGAGGGGCAGCTCTAGCCCGTCACCTGCCATGATTGTGCTCAGGATGGGCATTCCTCGGTATCAGTGCCATGGTGATGAGGTCGTAAATCTCACGGGGCACCTGTCTCCTCTTCTCATCCACTTCTGCTGGAGAGTGACCGAGCTCTCGGAGTATATATCTGCTGGTCTGGGAGGCCGAAAGGTGTGCGAGCTGGGTCCGCTCCTGCGCTTCGGCAATCTCCTCAAACGTATTCTGTACTCCGAGCTGGAGCAGGCGCTCGGGGCGCGTCCTGATCGGGATACCGAGGGCCCGCTTGGTAATCTTTCTGAGCAGGAAGTTGATCTTGTCGCACTCGACACGCTGCCAATTGTGCATGGCCATGACATATGAAAAGTGGCAGAGCACAAAGGCATTGACCAGGTGGATTAGGTTGTCTTCCTTGAGGCCTTGGTGGCACTTGGCCACCCGCCGAACCAGCCGAACAGCGTTATCCGTCTTGGCGGCGAGCTTGAGTATAGTCTTGCCGTTGGAACCATTGGACTCTATGGTCATGCCAAGGGCCTGAATGGAGTAGACTCTGGGTATTGCGCCGCCGTCTTCGGTGTAGAGCTTGATATAACTCTCCGAAATCGGCTGCCAGTTTTTGGGCTTGGGCCCTCGCCTAGTGGGTCGGTAGAGGAGGAGCTAGGATTTGTTTGGGGAACACTTCAGGCTTGTGGAACGAAGGTAATCTTCCGTAGTGTCTATGGCCTCCTGCAGGGAGCACTCGACTGGCCCGTCGCTGCCACCTGAGCACCATATGGTGATATCATCTGCGTAAATTGTGTGGTTAATGCCCCTGATACATGAGAGCCTCTTGGACAACCTAACCATGACAAGGTTGAACAAGGTGGGCGATATCACTGACCCCTGCTGCGTGCCGCGCGAGGCCTGCTCGACCTTCTCGGAGACGAGGTCTCCCACTCTCAGGGTGGCTTTGAGAACGATTTGAGATATTTGTAGAATCTGGCTCTGAGGCCGAGCTCAGCAATCTACCGCTACACGAAAGAGTGAGCAGCATTGTCGGCTTTCTCTAACTGGAGGCCGAGAATCGCCCATATGTCTCGAGTGTTGCAGTCGATGAGTTGGTGCTTGAGCAGCTTCCATGGCTAACAGAAATAATATTTCCTGTCTGGTAAATGAGTATTGTAACAAAGTCATGGGAAACATCATTCCCACCATATCTGTGTGTTGCTATCTTAAAAAAAAACATGGCAAAAAAAGGTGTTAGTACAGAGGTGTTCTCTTCGAAAAATGGATAAGCTGCTTTGTTCCCCGAAGCTTTACCTGACTTCGACACAGCTGCCTACTTGCTTGATATATTCGTGTGAATAGTGCTTCAGTATGTGCATAAGAGCTTTCTTAGAAACTATTTCCGTGGGGGAAAAAAGTATTTCAGTATTTGCTGCGAGTTTGTTGTGGCAAGCATTGTTTGTACCATTTGGTGCACACCCCTGCTAATGGCAGTTTGACAGAAAATGAAGGGGTGTTTTGTTTTTTACAGACTTTCAAAACTGTCGACAGGCAGCCCATTTACTTTGTAACTTTATTCTGCATTAGTCTGAAGTTTTATTATTTTTTCTGCACACCCATTAGGAAATTTAAAAAAAACACTATGAAATTTGAAATTTTTATGTGGAATGGCAAAATTGTGCAAATAGACCCTAGTGCTGCACGCACGCGCGCGCGCGCGCTCGCGCACACACACACACACACACACACACACACACACACACACACACACACACACACACAAACTGTGTAGGTTGAAACTTAACGAGTAATATGCACCTCAGGCTGAAAACTTCAACAAATGTATAGATTAAAAAGGTAGTTAGCAGTAAAAAAATTTCCTATTTTTACTTTTTGAAAATTGATTAACATAGAAACAGGACGTTCAAACAAATTTGTACGAAAATCCTCGAGACAAAGTAACGCGGCAATATTTGCTCACTACCTTCGGCACTACTTTTTTTTTTTTTTTTTGTGTGGTGGCAGACTTTTCAAGATGACTGGAGAAATAAATTACGGCAGTAAATATAGAAATTAACTTCTTTGAATTAGGCGGGCTTTGCTGCGACGGGCATGTGCGCTTGTGTCACGTTTTTTTTTTCGTACTCGTGTTTGTTTTGCGCGTAATTGTCCTTTATAATGCATTACCAACTTGCCGAGAGCTCTGTTCTTGAAAATCCTGGCGGTGCGGCAAAACCGAAACTGGCCTGCTGTCGTTTCTTTGGCCACAACGTAGGAATCATCCGGAAACGGCGGCCACGTCTAGCCACCATCGCTTGTTTCGGATTTAGAGGCAGCGGGCCAGCGTGACACATTTTATCGGCGTAATATTTTTGCGGGCAACATGACTCTCGCGCGCGTTCATTTGTGATGTTTACTCGCTGAAGTTCAAATGTTTGAACGTGCGAATAAAGCTCCAAGCGAGCAGGAGACGGGATGCACTTATGCTGCGCCAGAGCACTACTGTCGTTATTGCTTTCTACATCGTCTTGTTTAGCTCGACGTTCATCACAAACAAGGTAAGTCTTCATTGTAAAACCATATGGTGTTGTCGAACATTGATAAACTGCGCACTTAAAATGCATGTTTATACTCTGCTTGAAGTGTGGCCTTGTGTTTGACGTCGCTGTTATTATAATGGCATTACGCGTGCAAAGGCATGTTTGAAGGTAGTGAACATTACGGTTCTCTTATTGAGGCCCAGAAATGTGAACCGCTCTTTGGATTAGATAGAAGAAAAAGTGTTAATATATGTTTTTTGCAGTATGTTCTCACCGTAGAAAGGTTCGCCTATCCTGCTATTTTTCAATGGTAAGCAAAATTCATTTGTTGTTCAACTTTTAAAAACTTGCGCAACCCGTGTGCTTTTTATGCTGCTTCCTCGCGGAAATGCCGATGCTCGTACAGCAGGTAAGTAACCTAAAATAAGGCTGGTACTCTTGCCCAAGTGTATTTTAGTTTTACGGAAGGATATTGGCTGATATTAGTGTGATCGCCTGACGTAGGAATTCAAAAGCTTGATTTAAGAGCTATGGTAGTTTCGTTTCTGTAATTGAAGCCACGTGTTGACCTAGTTAAGAAGTCTGACTAGGCGGAATATTCAGTGTGTGAGCGAGTTGGCGCTTCTCGGACAAGTCTTCGTGCGCGAAGGGTACTCGGATCGAATCCTTCCTCCGGGACAAGTATTTGACCCCTGCCATTTCTCTTCGGCTCAAGACAACAACAATAAAGACTAAATTTGCTTGTGGGGGAACTCTGATTTAAATTGTAGTCTCCCACTGTGTAGCATAGTTAGAATACTTGTCTTTGTGTTCCGCTGCTGTGAAACGAATGTTCTGTTAATTTTTGCATTGTTATGCTTTATTTTTTTTCTTGTGTTGCATGACAGCTGGCAGGTCCTGGTGGCTGCTGTTGGCTTTGTTGTAGCTGCTAGCTGTTGCAAATGGAAGTGGCACATGCAATGTCTGATGTAAGTCACGTGGCCATTATCTCTAATCGTACTGCCCATAAACTCTCTCAATAGCAAGGTTCTTGATTCCTGGCGGCAGTGGTTGCATTCAGATTGGTATTGAACCCAATTGCTCATTGAAATACGTGTTAATGTGAGGGATTAGAGAAGTGAGTTAATCTAGTTGGTACGTATTAGCTGCAGACATAACTAATTAGTACGAAAAAATAATAAACAATTTTGTCCTGTCATCACTTCACATTGTCTGTTTTTTTTTAGTTTTTTTTTAACTAGTTGGTTCTGTTTGCAAATAATTCGAGGGAACATTCATTGGCACACCTCTCATAGCCTCTTTTGTTTTGGGATGTGTTACCTGTCAGTAAAATGTTTGTCATTGATGTATCCTCGTTTTCTTGTGAGTACTTCTGCCGACAGAATTGTGCCTGCAGACATATGTTGTTCTTCGTCTCCCAACAGAATCTGCTAACACTTCTGTATGTTGTGTTAACATTCGAAGTGTGGAACTGTGTTGATCAATTTGTTAGAAGGTTCCATATTTCCAGCATCACTGAGGTGATAGCAGTTGCATCTGATTGTCACATGCACTGAAAAAAAAAAAAATATCGAGTGATGTGAACTGGTCTGCCAGCTTAGTTGCAAATTTCAAAAGCACTATGCTGTGTTTTTGCCATCTGAATTGCAAAAAACAATTTGTAATTCAGTCTCTCCTACAGCATTCGGTTGGCATGTAACGGTGGTGCAAGAGATGGCCCAAGGCAGGCATGGTAGCGTGAATTAGATGAGCTGTCATTGCATACATTTGCAACTAACCCACGTATTCACAAACGCTTCTCGACACTAATTTTGTCCTTCACTTGACAGAGTAAAGCACTGCGCTGCTGCTCGACTGGGAATGATGTTGCGCTTCTCAAATATCTCGGTGACTTGCCCTGCTTAAAGACGGCGCTTTCATTTGACTTTCACTAGTCAAGGTGAAGCACTGAGTGAAGGGATGTTTTAGAATAGAGGAGTAAGAGCATTGTGTGACAGGCATGGGCGTCTGGAGGGGGGGTTGGGGGCACTCCCCCCCCCCCTTTTAATTTGTTTTTTTATGCAGTAGCAATAAGCTATACAGCTTGACCAGCACCTTCAAGTCCTGCAGCACACAGTCCTGACTGTGTGAAACAGTCTTCAGGATTGCCAGCCAACGTTGCACATTACTTACGATTGACAAATCTTGCCAGTCTTGACACTGCAGTGACAAATTCTGCTTGTGCTGGGCCCCCTGCCTTGCCTGCAGATACACCATCCATGCAAAATGTTCTGGGGACACCCTTGGGACAGGAGCTTAGGAGCTGGCATAAATTGAACTGAGCAAATATGGCACCACATTACTAGCGGCAGCTTCTTGTGTCTTCCATTTCTTCCAATTGAAAGTGACAGTTGTACCCTGCTGGGTCTGTGATGGGCACATGCCCTTCCTGGAATTTTTGTCTACCGTGGAACACCTAGCATGGTGCAAGCATTGTCCAGCTCCCACTCGATGTTCAGTGGCAAGCATCTGCCTAAAAATTATTTATGGCTACTCCACTGTAAACACACTTACTTTAACATATTTCTGATAGTGCACATAGATTAGAGAGGAGTTCTGGACAAGTGTGCGAGCAGCCTGGAAGATGAGCAGCATGTTTAGCCATATTGCTCATGAATACTGATCAGTTGCACAAACCTAGAAAGCACTAAAATGTGACTTGTTGATGTCTGCACCAAATTTCTTATGCTTCAAGTCTCCTATGTGTGCAGGCTTCAATAGGCCTGTTTAGCTTTTTAAACAATCTTGTTTCCATGCTATGTGCTGATAAATTTCACACAGAAATTTTGAGTTTGAAATGTGCTATTTTTGCCTATTTGAATAATGCACGTTAGCTGAAACAAACTTAGTTTAGCACACTTGTGTTCATTTTTAACTGCATATATTAGCTTGATTTTGCTATATTACTTGTTTAGATGTTTATGAACTTTTTAGTTTTCAAATTATGGTTTACAGATACTTAGCTGTACATCCAGTGAACAATAAAGACTAGAATGTGTATTTGTGCAGGCCACATTTTGATATTATTGCCATATGTTATTAATAGTTGCTCTTTGTGCATGAAATTCATAAGGCATGAATTTTTTACTGGCCTAGTTGGGCATTTCTTTGTTTTTTTATGATTGAAGGTTTAAAAATACATTTGTGTAATGCTTGACCTGGAGCAGAAAAAAATTTTTTTCTATGTTAAGTTTGTACTTTACCCACAGTGCTTGAAAAACAAGATATACTTTTATCATAGGAGCTGCAACATATAGGTGAACCTTTTGTAGGTTTGCCTATATGTTTAACACAATGTTGTCAAAATCTGTGATGGTATGTGCATATAAATCACAAAAAAATAGTGTAAAACAAGTCTCATCAAAATCAAGCCAGTACTTCGCCAGTACATATATCCCACTGCCTCGTGAAGGTACCATCATGCGATTGCATCACCGATTATTTGGGATGAAACAGCCATAACGAGTGGCACAGAGGAGTACTTCTCAATTTGTGCGGAGGAACATTGTGTGTTGCTCATTTCCAGCAGCGAACATCGCATGCAGGTTAGCCTTACAAGTCTGTATGTAGTCTGTAGTCTTACAAGTCTTTATATAGGCTGTAATCTGTTCCTGTAAAGCTTGCTTCACCACATACATCAAGCATTTTCCGCTGTTGAAATGGACAAGTACTGATGATGTCCCTACCGGCCACAATGGTCTCTAGTGGTTATAGAACTTGGTTGCTGACCTGCAGGTGAGGGGATTGAGTCTTGGCTGCATTTTCAGTGGAGACGAAAATGCTCGAGGCCCATGCACGTAGGTTTAGGTGCACATGAAGGAACCCCAGGTGGTTAAAATTTTTTAGCCCTCCGCTCAGTCGTATCGTGGTTTTGAGATGTCAAGCCCAATAGATTATTATGTCCCTGAATATCTGCTCACTTTTGAAGAGCTATGTGATATCAAGAAAATGATTCCCATCAGGCCTGTAGCCAAGCCCCCCATCCCCACTACTGGTCCTCCGATTCCCATGCAGTTATCTCCAATTAGGCTTAGTGAAGAGCATGGTAATTTTGCAGAAGACTGTGTTTTGATGCATTTATCAATCAAGTTACTGCACATATCTACATTAACACATGATTACTGGGAGCTTAAGTCACCTCTCTAGAAAACCAGAAAAAGATAAAGCTATCTGGCATTTTGAATTATAGGTTGTTGTTTTTTTTCTGTGAATGGAACAAAAGTTCAGAAGCCTCCTTAAAAAAAAAAACAGGTTTCAAAGATATTGTGGCGCTACAGCCACCTTCCAAAACTGTGGTGAAACATTTTTTCTCATGCTTACACAAACTTAGGGAAGGTAGCAGCCACGTAGCGTTGCGCTAAGCATGATAGCTTATGTGGGAGATAAGTTTATCTGCAGAAAAAAAAAAAGGTGAAATATATGTGTCATGGTGTCTTATAAAGGGTTAACTAATGAAATTATGAATGACAAACTACAGTGAATGATCTGTCTACATCCTTGGGTGCTAATAAATTTCTTTCTATTTCAGACTGACTCTTCAGTACATTTGGAAAACGGTGCCATATTATACACTGAGCATATATGCTGGTTCTCGGGCCCTCACAATCCTTGTGAGTATTTTTTTTTTTAAAGTTAACACCGTTATGTATTCTCAAATTCTGAACACAATAGTGTATACATAAAAAATCACCCACAAAATTATTCATAAAGGAGCAATGACACCAACTTTACGCATGTCGTGTTTTTTGCCTCAATGCGTAGATTTCGATCCCCCTAGTAACAACTCGGTACTAACAATTAAAAAGAATTAATATATGTAATACTGATTAGTATGACCAGTATCGAACCCAGTTCTAAGCGATTGCAAGTTTTGCCAATTTCCAGCACTTCTAGCACTGCCAAGTGGTCATGTCTCTCGGTTCCGCCCCATCTGATCACATAGTCTCACGAAATGAAGTGATCTTCAGTTGACATTTCGTATGCTTGGCACACACGTACCGTATTTACTCGATTCTACCGCGCCCTAGATTGTAACGCGCACCCGATTTCCACGACGAAAAAAAAAAGTAAAACATCGATTGCAACGCGCACCCATTTTTCTCGCTGGCCCGCGCGATCACACCACTCGAAAAAACGACTCCTTTCGGGAGTGTCTTCCATTTAAATATGAGGTACGGGCGAAACTTGTGCCCATCTGACGGGTAACAGAGCATTGCCGTCACTGTAGTTTTACCATGGACCGATGTCGGCACGCAAACTTGCTTCGCCCCCTTCTTCTCGACGGTTGTGGTGCCAGGCATGTCGAAGTAAAGAGGCGTCTGATCGGCATTCCCGTTTTGCCCAAGCAGGTAGCCGTTGTTGTGCCGCAAGTTTAGGACGAACCTCTGAAAACTGTGAAGCATTTCATCGTACTCCTCCGCTAAACTTTTCGCATATGCCCATTCCCCTTCGGAGGGAAAAGCCTTTTCTCTTCATAAAGTTAGTTAGCCAGTACCTGCTCGCTTTAAACTGGCTCCGCATTAGACCTTTTTCTAAGGCTAATTGCCTAGCCCGCACTTGGCGTTCTGTCGTCACGGGCTGCTGTGCCGCTTACTGCTCAAGGACATACTCGCCGAGCAGCTCTTTAATTTGCGGAAACCAACCCTGCTGTGGTTCACTGAAGCCTTTGCGTGAAGCTTTGCTGTCGACAATCTTCTGCTTTTGTTTCCGCCAGTCCCGCACGCACGTTTCGGGAACTCCAAACGACCGCGATGCGGCCCGATTTCCATCCGTTTCTGCACACGCGATGACTGTTCTTTTAAAAGCAGCATCGTGGTGCACTCGAGTTTTTGGAGTCGGCCCTTCCATGCTGTCGATGCTAATGCACTACAAGATGACAAACTCCTCAGCACACGTACGAAGTGCCGCGCATGGCAAACACATAGGCAGAAATGGCCGACGCGCCATGCCGACGCATGTAGGGGGCGGCCATTTTGGAAATTCCGATGGCAATAGAATGACCATATTCATTTTTTTTTCGTACTCAATTCTAACGCGCATGCGATTTATGAACTCGCTTAACCGGAAAAAAGGTGCGCGTTAGATTCGAGTAATTACGGTATATATAGGCACGTCTTTGCCACCCCCATTGTCGTCGTTATCGCCGTCATCAGTGTCTACAAGCAATGATGAAAACACCGAGGATTATGGAATTGCGGTGATTCGCGGCGTGGCGAATCATTTTCAGTGCGATCTTTTTCTGAGTTGCGACGAGGCAGCTGGAGATGAACGCCTGGGCCACGCTGGTTGGTAAGACATGCGAAAGTTGTGTGCGTGTTACTTGTTCGCGGTGATCGTAGCTTCAAATTCGTGATTACGGTTCCAGAACAAATCACTTGCTGCGGCACAGCGAACACTCTAGATTCACGAACGCGCAGCTTGAAGCAACTGAAACAAAGCAAGTGAAGCCGTTGCTAGGCAGCCAGGCGTTGCTGCCAAAGGCACCATGATGACAACACTAAAATTGTTGACATCAACGCTGCTCGCTCATTGTCACTCAGATTCTGAGGCGTGGCCACAGAATAAGATAAAAGAGGAGCACCGATTCTGCCGCCACCCCACACTTTCATGCGGGACACATCGTGCAACGCGCACGTGGTGGTCGAACTCATTGCTTTGCTCTTTTTCTTTGCTCCTTTTCCTGCTTTCGCACATGCTTCCTCCTCTCTCGGCATGTATCACAACGTGTAGCACCACCTGTACAGCTGTGCTAATGAGCCCATGCGGGAACTGGCGGAAACCAACGGCGGTGGCGGCGAGCGCAGAGCGTGTCGTCTGCTAGAAAACCGTTTGCTCGGCTGCCTCAATATGACAACCAAATTAAACGTATATATGCATACTCATAATGAAATATGATATAAAAACATTGCTCTTTTTACACATATGCGAAACACTGCTACAGATGTTTAGACAAAGCAGATGAAAAATTCTTCAGAAAAAGAACGGCATAACAGACGTACGATTGTTTTTCACGCCTGGACGCCTGAGGGGCAGTGTTGGCCGGACATTTTCGTGTTACACCCTTTGGTTAAAATGTCTGGAATGTGCTTATTCATGCTCGAAGGGACAAGATATCTTCGTATTTGTGTGTGAAGATGCGGGGCAACTGGACAGATGGCAATGAAGTGTTTTGTTCCCGGCTACAAGTCTAGTTATGGAAAAGGGCGGGAGAAGATTCCACTCTTTGCAACCCGATCTGAGCCGCTGCTACTAGATCAGTGGCATCAAAAAGTACCCATAAGTAAGCGACCCCTGAAATCGAAAGAGAAAATATGTGCTTGACGCTTCAAGAGGCATCCTATATTTGATAGGTAGTTCAGCGAACACAACGGAAATGTTCTACTAGATGTAAAGAAAGTGCCTCGACTTCGAAAGGGAGCTATTCCTTCCATCTTAGGGGAAAGCATGGCTCAACTCAATGACGTTGAATATAAGGAGGAACCAACAGACACCGGTGCCGAAGAACCAAAGGACATCAATTTGTCTACAACCGCACACAGAGTAGGTGCCTTTATTTGCCCAGATAATGAAAATTCTCAGCGTTGCCTGTGAGAAGACTCCTTCAGTTGGTCGCTTGGCAAGGATCTAAAAAAGACAACAGCTTGAGTGCGCCTTCTAAAGAACAATGTGCAGCAGAAAGCGGCGCAAGCAGCTCTACGGCTATAAGTGACAACAGAGACTCTCTGTGCTGTTGCGATAGGGATTTGCAAGCACCGGAGGAGATTTGGAATGAAGACGTCGAGGGAGGAGGAAGGGAGACTTAGAGTTCATTTACGTCATCTACATGGCGAGCCCTCTCTTACATGGTGAGATCCTCTAGATTGTGCGCTGTCGAACGTGGCGCTCTCGTCTACATCGAAAAGCTCCTTGAATGAGTCGGTTGGCCCATTATAAAGGGTAGGTTCTCCCCAGATCCCTAGATAGGGGAATACGTGCAGACGGCACTGTCCAATCGCTTGTTACACAGTTACACTGAACCTGCGAGGCTGGTGAGCATACAGGGTCCACGTAAACGTCCAATATTAAGGCGTGATCACAGCACTTCAATGTGGCACCAACGGGGTTCTTCCTTCTCAGGTGTGGGCTGCTGGGTGAGGGGTCCCTATCTCACGACCGCAGACATAAAAATCGCCGCCACAGTAGCTCAAAAGAGTCTGCCGGACAGCTAGCTCAATTAGCGAGGCAATTTGTGGCTGCTGCTGCTGTCCCTTCCAAGGAAGATGTTGCACTTGTCGTCGTCTCGTGAAACGGCTTACGGTGTCGTGGCAGTACGACGCCTCACCCTCCGGCTAGGAGGGACAATACATTGCGGATATAAGCCGGTAATTACTAACAGAGTAAAGAAAACATTAGAGTTCAATCAACCAAAGGAACAAGCAGGATTTCGAACAGGCTACTCAACAATCGACCACATTCATACTATCAATCAGGTAATAGAAAAATGCTCAGAATATAACCAACCACTATACATAGCCTTCATAGATTACGAGAAGGCGTTTGATTCAGTAAAAATATCAGCCGTCATGCAGACATTGCGGAATCAGGGTGTCGATGAAGCATATATAAACATCCTGGAAGAAATCTACAGGGGATCAACTGCTACCATAGTGCTTCATAAAGAAAGCAACAGAATACCAATCAAGAAGGGTGTAAAGCAGGGGGACACAATTTCCCCAATGCTATTTACTGCGTGCTTACAGGAGGTTTTCAGAGGCCTAGATGGGAACAATTAGGAATAAGAGTCAATGATGAGTACCTTAGTAACCTGCGCTTCGCCGATGACATTGCTTTGCTGAGTAACTCAGGGGACGAATTGCAACTCATGATTACGGAGTTAGACAAGGAGAACAGAAAAGTAGTTCTTAAAATTAATCTGCAGAAAACGAAGGTAATGTACAATAACCTCGGAAGAGAACAGCGCTTCGAGATAGGTAACAGTGCACTTGAAGTTGTAAAAGGCTATGTCTAGTTAGGACAGGTAATAACCGCGGAGCCGAACCACGAGACTGAATTAACTAGAAGAATAGGAATAGGGTGGAGCACATTTGGCAAGCACTCTCAAATTATGACAGGTAGATTGCCACTATCCCTCAAGAGAAAAGTGTATAACAGCTGCATCTTGCCGGTACTTAGCTACGGAGCAGAAACCTGGAGACTTGCAAAGAGGGTTCAGCTTAAATTGAGGACGACGCAGCGAGCAATGGAAAGAAAAATGGTAGGTGTAACCTTAAGAGACAAGAAGAGAGCAGGGTGGATTAGGGAACAAACGGGGGTTAAGGATATCATAGCTGATATCAAGAAGAAGAAATGGACATGGGCCGGGCATGTAGCGCGTAGACAGGATAACCGCTGGTCGTTAAGGGTAACTAACTGGATTCCCAGAGGAGGCAAACGGGTTAGGGGGAGACAGAAGGTTAGGTGGGCAGATGAGATTAAGAAGCTTGTGGGTATAAATTGGCAGCAGCAAGCAGAGGACTGGGTTAACTGGCAGAACATGGGAGAGGCCTTTGTCCTGCAGTGGACGTAGTCAGGCTGATGACGATGATGATAGGCCGGCAAATGATCGGCGACTTGATTGAGGATCAAAAGAACGCTGCTCCCTTGTCAGCCCAGGTGCCAGTCGCAACAGTGCCCAGATCGAAGCTCTCTTTTTTCAATATTACGTCATGTATTAAGTTCAAGTATATATTATGTTTAGGTACTTTGTAGTGGCATTGTATAATTCTGTGTGGTCCATGTTAAAGATGTCAGGCATATGGCCTGTTTCGAATAAGAGAAGTAAAACGATACATTGGGTTATTTCTTTTCATAACGTTGATCTGCAAACTGCAATAATCACGCTGTTTGCAGGAAAGAATTGCAGACGTAAGGCATGTGGGGAGCAGACGACAAAACGGATAGGCGAGCGGACCCATGAACGCGGCCAAGCGCTCGTCCGTGCTGCTGCTATAGCGACGGCCCCCAACTCGCGGCTCTGCTCGAGGGCAGCGCCTTTCCTCCACCGTTTTCCTCCATTCATAGTGCCTCCTGGCACACAAACCATGAAGCATGAAGCGGCATTGCAAAATGTGTATTTCCAGACGAGCGGAGTCTGCCCTCCTCTCTTATCTTACTCAGTGGGCGTGTCCTAGGAGTTTGCTGAACACGTCAAAATACTGCCGATGTCTCATGGCCGGGAATGCGCTGACGAGCCTTGAACGCTCTTTGCACTCGAAATCTAATAGTTTCTACTAATAGACGTGATTCATACTTCGCCAAAAAAATTGTGCATAATAAACCATAGAATGAATGCCACATCTCGAGTTCGAAGTTCGGTGTCACTGCTCTTTTAACATTCTGCAAGCCTAACATACTGCAAACAACACATACTATTTAGGGGTGGGTTGCTGTCCTGTCTCAATCTGTGACAACAGTTCTTGTGTTCAGATACCACGAAAAATTCCTAAAGAACATTATATGCACCTAAGGTGAAAACGTTATGATGCCGTTCCAATAAGTGCTTCTAAAAGTAGCTGCCCGAAGAGCCTACAATGCTTATTCTACAGATAATACAACTGACCGCACAGGCATGGTTGCCTGGTATGTGCTTGCTGCCATTTGTTGATCACAAAATTTTTTTTATTGGTTTCTTTTTAGCCTCTTTCAATATTTCTGGGCATCCACAACTCTTTGCTACTTTTCCACTGTGGTTTGGATCTAGACTTTGGCAAACAGGTGAGGTTTCCTTCTCCCTTAGTTAATTTTTTTTCATTTCAAATATATATATATATATATATATATATATATATATATATATATTGTGGTGTACACGTATCCCGAAGGAGTACGGCCACCAGCGTGGGTTCGGTCTTAGCGAGCCGCAGGGCACGCGTTAACCGTCGCCGTGGCGGGAAACACGATACTGCTCAAAGTCGCAACACTTTATTGTGGCAACACCAAACGCAGTACAGCCCGTTGCAAAAAGGCGCGGCGGGAAAGCAAGTAGGCTTATCCACGCCACGGGCACAAAGTACTACACAGGGGTGCCACGAGCACGTCTCCGCGGTAAAGCTGATCCACGGAGACACCGGAGCAAAGGCCCGGTTGCTCGAGCGAGGGCAAAGGCGCTCGCGTTGGCTTCGAAGGGAGACGGGTCGGCGTAGCGAGGCCACGCACTAGGACACCGTACTGCCCTTCGGCCGTGAGTACGCAGCGGGGCAACAAAAGGTGAGCGTTCGCATCGGGCGCGAGGCGCCGTCAGCGAAGTCCGACGAGCCCCGAGCGACGGGACTCGACGGACGGAAAAGAATGCGTGGCTCACCGTTTGAAGTCCCGGACTGTACTCCCCGCTCCCGACGCAGCGCGCGAAAACCTCTCGGGGGGCTCCCCGCGCGCGGCGCCACAGTCAACATCCGCTACCGGGTGAGGGAGTTAAACGTCACTCCGCCCTTCCCAGCGCGGCAGACAGCAAAGGAGGGCAGACATGTCGGGACATGAGAATGGCAGAAAGGCGGGAAAGCCCGCGCAAAGGCAGCGGGCCAGCCTCAATTCCCACATCCCCCTCTCCTAAACTTGTCCTTTACCGGTCTGCAAAAGGCAGCCGGACGTCACCCAAGCAGTTAAAATGACACTGCTATGAGCGGTAGCTAACCTCAGTCCAGCCCTGCTACTGCTGCTTAAAAGAAATATGATTACAAAGGAGAAACAAAAACATAAATAACAAAATAAACACACGACACTATACAAATACTGCAGAAGGGAGCACAGAAACGTGGCACTAGTGTTCGTGGTGCTGAAGGGGGATAGCGTCCACTGCGCGGAGGGGCGGAAAGGCGTGACAGTGTCCGCTGGGTGCGATGCCCGAGTGCGAGGTCAGAGGTACCGGAAGGGGGGGCTCACTGATGGCTTGTTCCTGCTCTTGATAAGCCGCGAGTCCGACGAAAGCCGCTTCGGTTGTTCGGAGGCCCCGCATTTCTGGCTTGATGACGGAGCTGGATGTTGCGGGAAGCCGGGCCTCTCCGGTGGTCAGGGAGGCCGAACCAAAATGGCTGCGAGGCGCCCTGGCGTTGGCGGGCAGCATATAGCTGCTTTCAGCTGGCCTCGGCAGGAGCCATGGTGGAAAGGCAGCACGGCTTCTTCGGCGACAGCCGAGAGCAGAGCACAGCCGGATGGTCTGATGTCAATGGGTCAATGCCCCCCCAGCACCTCCAGTGCCCGCATCGATGGGGGGGAAGCCGACGCACTCTTCGCGGGCTCGCACTGAAGCGTCACGCACTCACACATGCACACACACCGCCGACAGCTGCGTGAGCGTAGGCGCAAAGCGTCCTTCGTCTCTCTCTCTCCCGGCAAGCACCGACACTCAAGGTCACACACAGCTCCCTTCGCGGTTGACGAAACGAACACGAAAAAAAAAGTAAAAACAGAGCAAAACGACACTCAACATCTGACAAAAAACATAAAATACAAATATCACTTAATATTAGACAAAAGAAACAAAATACACATGAACACTTCAAAAAAAAAGAAACACTGGCAGCAGACAGAGCGGGGTCAACTTCTTTACGAGAAAAGGCCGTAAAGAAGCTAACGTATACTGAGGCTAGACAGTAAACTGAGGGCCTTCGGTTGCGGAGAAGTCCGCCGTCCGGCGCGAAATCACAAAGGTGACCGCTTCCTCAGATTATACCGGTGCGGGGTCCGAATGCGGTCTGTCGCTCCGGGTGTGCCCGTTGCTTGCGCGAAGTGCCGCAGGGCACTGGCGCGAGCTCGTCAGACCGTGACAAAGGGCTTCAGGTCTGCGATGTGGGCACGGCTGAGTTTTCCCAAAGGGGATCTTTCAGCTAGTACGCGCCACGGACGCTCACTGACAATCGGTTCATAAGACCGGGCGGCTTTCCAACCCTTGGCTCAACCATTTGTCAGACGTGGCAGGCACGGAATAGCGATAAAAGCCACGCTTCGTGCCGGGCCAGGTCACAACATTGCTCAGTTTGCAAAAACTTTCGAGCCACTCAGGTGACCGGCCATGGGTTCGTCGTGAGAGGATCGCAACAGTGCGGCTCTCAGACTTTTGGGCCTAACCACCTTAAACGGGTCTATGGACTCGTCGTCAGTGGCTATATACTTCAGCAGGAGCCCGTCATGGTCCAGCAAAATGAATCCGCCGGGGACTCAGCGACACACGCTGTTTCAGCCCCCTAATCGCGCCCGCCGCAGAACAAGCAGCGTAACGGCGCTCCGCGCCTCGTCAAGACGGTTTAACGGCGCCCGCCGCAAAGCAAGCAGCGTATACGGCGCTCCGTCCCTCCGAGACTCGAAACGGATCACTCTGCTGAGCCTTCAGTAGCTCTTCGCTGCCGAAAGCAATTCCCATTCTCCCAAATGGGGGAGTCTGGTATCGCGCCCACTCAGGACCGCAGCAACCGCCGCGTGAGTCGGCGTTACGGGTTCACTCTCGGCCTCGTGGCCTTCGGAAAGCTCCCCCGCTCGGCCGCTTCGCGGTGCGCCGCTTACCTGGTTAGCAGCCAAGGTTTGTCCGCATGGGGACTCACCCTCCTCGCCGAATAGCGGCGAAGCTGCTGTTTCGCCCCCGACGCTTGCATGTGCTAAGGCACCGCGAGCGGCCGTCGCACCGAAATCCAGGCTCTCGGCAGACAACAGGGGGCACGAGATAGCGCGTCAGCTACCACGTAGGAGTGTATTCACCACAAAAAAGGGGTGACGACACAGGCGAGCGCCGAAGGGCGCCCGTCGATAGAGGCGGTGGCCTCTTGGTGCAACGCGGCATGCCACGAAGCAGACATAACGTTCGGGTAGGGCAAGAGGCCCATTCCGAAGCGACGCGCCATCTCCAAAGGGAGCGGCTAGGCGCCTCGTGTCGTCACCGCAATAGGGGGTGCCGACACAGACGGGTGCACAAGGGTTCCCATCAATAGAGGCAATGGCCTCCGTGTGCAACGCGGCATCCGCTAAAAAGGGACAGCGGACAAAAGTCCCGCGAAGCAGCCATGTTGCGACGAGCCCGAATCGCGCAGGCGAACTGACTCGCTAAGAGCAATCAAAAGCTAGAGCTTTTGATACCGCGTTGGGCGCCAGTGTGGTGTACACGTATCCCGAAGGAGTACGGCCACCAGCGTGGGTTCGGTCTTAGCGAGCCGCAGGGCACGCGTTAACCGTCGCCGTGGCGGGAAACACGATACTGCTCAAAGTCGCAACACTTTATTGTGGCAACACCAAACGCAGTACAGCCCGTTGCAAAAAGGCGCGGCGGGAAAGCAAGTAGGCTTATCCACGCCACGGGCACAAAGTACTACACAGGGGTGCCACGAGCACGTCTCCGCGGTAAAGCTGATCCACGGAGACACCGGAGCAAAGGCCCGGTTGCTCGAGCGAGGGCAAAGGCGCTCGCGTTGGCTTCGAAGGGAGACGGGTCGGCGTAGCGAGGCCACGCACTAGGACACCGTACTGCCCTTCGGCCGTGAGTACGCAGCGGGGCAACAAAAGGTGAGCGTTCGCATCGGGCGCGAGGCGCCGTCAGCGAAGTCCGACGAGCCCCGAGCGACGGGACTCGACGGACGGAAAAGAATGCGTGGCTCACCGTTTGAAGTCCCGGACTGTACTCCCCGCTCCCGACGCAGCGCGCGAAAACCTCTCGGGGGGCTCCCCGCGCGCGGCGCCACAGTCAACATCCGCTACCGGGTGAGGGAGTTAAACGTCACTCCGCCCTTCCCAGCGCGGCAGACAGCAAAGGAGGGCAGACATGTCGGGACATGAGAATGGCAGAAAGGCGGGAAAGCCCGCGCAAAGGCAGCGGGCCAGCCTCAATTCCCACAATATATATATATATAGTATTTTTTTCATAGAATGCATATGTTGGCTGTGAAAAACATCACTCTTGTAACGCTCATTTTGTGTACAGTGAATCAATAATGTTCTGGGCAGCGCAACACCAGAAAAAATACAGGACAGGGAAGGAGCAAAAGAGAAAGAAAAGACGCCGCTAGATGTAAGAACACTTAGTATTGACAGTTAAATCCATGTAACCACATTACAATTACGAGGCATGCAGAATGGCAACTTCTAGTTGTTTTTGACCATATGGGATTATTTATTTGCACCCAAATCTATCCCTGTCCTGTATTTTTTCTGGTGTTGCGCTGTAAGTAAGTTCACGATAGATCCTAACCAACTGGCCCAACTAACCGTCTTGTTCTGGGCATTCAAATTTTTTGGGTGATGCAAAAATGCATGGCTGCCCTCTGTAGGGAGCCATCTGGCTGCTCAAAGAACTTATTTACAAAAGGGCTGTGCCTTGCCATTTTTCCTACTGCTGCACACGGCTGGGGGGGCTCAAGCATCGTTACAGTCTCTTGTGCCAATAGGTTTATGACCCCGGCCTGGGAAAATTGCTTGAAATCATGAATATTGCTCAGTATTTCTTCGGTTTTTTATTGCAGGGCCTCATTCTTACATTTTTGTTGCACTTTTTGCTTAATGATAAAACTGAGGAGCCCTTGCAGGAATGGTGTGCAGATAAAATTTCCCAGCAGCGAGTCGTAGAATACGTATGTATGACGACTCGTAAAGCAAATGTTTTTACAACTACGGCACAGTACTCAAGCTCCTGAAGCTGATGATGCTCTGCATGAGGAGTAGCTAGGCACCGCGCTAGGCTCATAATGGCTGTGCTCTAATTATTCTCTTAACAGCTGCATTCACAGGAGTGCATTCAAGGGAGTGCAGGTGCCACATAAGTACCCCGCCGCGGTGGTTTAGTTGTTAAGGTACTCGGCTGCTGACCCGCAGGTCGCGGGATCGAATCCCGGCTGCGGCAGCTGCGTTTTCGATGGAGGCGAAAATGCTGTAGGCCCGTGTGGTCAGATTTGGGTGCACGTTCAAGAACCCCAGGTGTCCGAATTTCCGGAGGCCTTCACTACTAATCATATGATGGTTCTGGGACATTAAACCCCACATATCAAGGTGCCACATAGGTCTGCAACCGCAGGCTAAGGATGAACGACCCTGTGCCTAGCATCTAAAAAACAACGTGCCATTTTGCAGTCGGAATCACAGATGCACTGCTAATAACGTGCCGGTTACAGAACCACTTAGCTAATGTATCAATGCATTGCTAACAAATACTTACATTATAAGGCCTTATTTCGACTAGGATCCAGGCAGGTAGATTTCAACAGTATCACTATAGACTTGCTTCCGAAAAGAACAGTCAGCTTCTTAGACAAGCCCTGAGAGTACTTTGCACTGCAAGTTTCAACTGATACTACCATTTTTAAATATATAGAGCTACCAACTACCATATTTGACTGTGTAATCAGAAAGGCTTCTATTCTATTTGACTCATTTAGACTGAAAATAATTTTTTTGTGTGTGCGTTATTGTTGCAGAGTGTTTTCTTCAGTACCAACCCGAAGGACTTGGTAGCATTTACTTCTGTGGCCGTGAGCAGCATAATGCTTGTTACCACTGTCCCAAGAGTAAGTCTTTTTCATTTGCAAAGAAAAAAATAAGAGGGAGAGAAGAAAAAAAAATCCTCCACTAAAAGTATTTGCAAAGCAAAAAAAAAAAAAAAAGACGGGGAGAGAAGAAAAAAAAAGTCCTCCACTTGGATGTATTGCATAGCACATCTATTGCATTGAGTCTTAAATTTCTGTTGCAAGAACTGTCATGACTTCTATAATATGTGTATGGTCTTCGAGCTCCATGTGCGATATTTTTTTTTTTTTTTGTCCTGCAAGCTTGCTTTCACAGGAAATCAAATCAACCTAATGCCTAAACTGGTAAATGCAATCTTTCTTGCTGTATGCTTAGCAGTTAAAGTGAAGCTCATTCATGTACCTCACCTGTTCTGGCCGTTTTTTTTTTTTTTTTCAGGGCTTTGGTAGTGCAATGTGGTGGATGTTGCTTCATATTTGTTGTGCAGGCAAGTATTAAAACTGTCTAAGGCAATCACTATGTTTAAAGCACACAGTATGTGTATTGGTGTCCGAATTCGTTTTGTAAGCATTATTCCTTTCCTTGTGTCTCCCCTTTATTTCCTTTGTTTCAATACTAATGATCCCGTACCACTATCAATCAGTTTTGCACTGAGATTCATTAAAGTACATAAATGTGTGATTGTAGTCATTCAAACACTGGAAACTATAGGTAGTGCATTTCCATTATGTGTTTTGGCATGAACCAAACTGTAGTCAGTTGTTGTTTGAAAAGGCAGAATATAGGAGGCACTCAAAAGGCATGGGTGCATCTAAGGATTTACAAATGTGCTTTGTCTTAATTGAAACCAGGCTGAGTCATTACTAATCAGGCAAAGCTAACTTTGTAGGGATTTTTTTATTTAGCATGTCTTTGTTTAAAAAATCATGTGTATTCATTGCTGTTTATGGTCCAATAAGGTTGTGTGCTTGTGACATTCTTTTATGCTTGTATGTTTTTAGTTAACAAGTAATTTAGTTTATCGTGTAGAAATAATCACTTAGCCACTCTTTTTAGTAATCCTGTAATGATCTGCCTATAAGTGTGTGCTGTCAGAGCATCTCACCAATGAAAGCGCTTGTCGCCATACCCTGTGGTGGTCACGGCATCTTCATGCCAAAGCACTTGGCTATGCCAATGACAACAGCAGTGCATACAGTTGCAGTAGTGTTAGTTAGCATTTGCGGTGTGCATGCATGACAGGGTTGGAGTGCATGCTTGCATTTCTACACTCCGGCCAGACTGAGCTTCACAACTACAAGGTGTGGACCAGCTTTGTTATGTGCTATCAGGTGGTAGCCACATTCAGATTTTGCATCTTGAAAGAGCCATCATTTAGCTTAATATAAAAGCGTGTCTGCCTCGGTGTTTAGCCAGCTGGGTGTAGCAGGTGCGAGGCTCAAAGAAGCCATGTGCTGAAAAAGATGCATGTGGATTGTAAGGTGACACTATGTGTTGGCAACCACTGTTATATGTAGTGGACTCAGTACGAGGCAAGTGAACAATTCGGGCATGTCATGGTTACATAAAAAAGCATGAGGCCCATGTAGTTAAAATCAGGTGCATGCTAAAGAACACCAGCTAATCGAAATTTCTAGAGCCCTCCACTATGCCGTCTCTCATAATCATATTGTGCTTTTGGGGCGTTGGACCCCCAACAGTTACTATTATGATTATTAGTGGTTGAAAGAGCATAAGAAGTACAACCTCCTGTTTGTAGCACAAAGCCACAAGAAAGTCCGTACAAATTTCCTTGTAGCTTCGTGCTACAAACGGGTAGTTGTCTTCTTTCTTAACCCTTCCCCCACCTTGTGGTTTTCCACAGAACTCATTTGCATTGCAGAGCATGTGTACATATGCTAGTTCACTAGATAGTATCACTGCTGGAAATAACGAAACTTCAGGAAAGCAGTGATCAAATACTCTTTATTGAGATTGTGCTCATGACATATAAGGTTCTTGTTTAACTCAAAGTTAGGAATAAAAGTGTCACTGAGAACGTCCTTGCAATAGCGTAATCAGCCAATACTTGTCAGACACACTGTAGTGGTTTAGTGTCAGTACACTCCTTACAGAACATGAGGACATTGGTTTAATTCCCAGCCATTGTGACCCTATTCTCATAGAGGTGAAGTGCAAGAACACTCATGCACACTGTTCAGCAATATAAACATTATAGTCGACTTGCATTAAGCCATCAATGAGTGCTGGGTATTAGGCCAGGTTTTTTCTTTCATTAAATGCCATAGATATATTCGTGTCATCAGCACTCAACAGTGGCACAAGAATGTGCCATGTACCATGTTGACTGACTATCATGCATCAGTGGCTGAGCACTATGCCTAGATTTGGGTGCAAATAAATAATCCCATATGGTCAAAAACAACTAGAAGTTGCCATTCTGCATGCCTTGTAATTGTAATGTGGTTACATGGATTTAACTGTCAATACTAAGTGTTCTTACATCTAGGTGATGCTGTATGGTAGCACTTGCGTGTCACTGGCCGGCTTTGTTCTGAAAGACTGTATTTTTCAGTGCAGTGTATCCTATCTTAGTGTTGGTGGTGAGTCTCATGCTAATGCAACCCTTAATGTTTTATGGCACACCAAAACTTGTTAATTTCTTTTGAAAATGTAACATTTGTTTACCCTGTTTTATAATTGCATGATTGTAATGGTGCTGGATTGGCAACATGCATTCATAATATAAACCATAAGCAGATGTGAATAGCACTTGAACAGATTAACATTGTTTTATATTGGTCATTGATATAGTAAATGCACATAAAAGCCTTTCTTGTTTTTTGCAGGTGTTATCCTTTCTACTGAAAAGTCTTCGACTGTCTGCATTAAAACTGAGTAATGCAAGTAGCTGATGACTGGAACGTGTTTGCTCTCTAATAAAACATTGGTTTATTGCAGTGCATTCAACAGACAGCTAATATACACGACAACAAGGTTTGTTTCTTGAGTTGTGTAACTTGAAGGGGTACCACCTTTTTTTTCTCTATTACACTGCACTTCAGGTGCATTGATAGTGGCTAACTGAATGTCTATCTTGTTCTTTTTTTATAGTTTTATTTTACTGTTGCCTGCAAGCTATTTCTTGGGTGAGCATAGTTCTGCATGTTTACATGCTTATGTATCGATATTTTGGTAGGCAGCCAGCTGCAATGATATTTCTTATACCCTTGCAGGTGATTTTCATGCAGTCTTCCTATACCCTTATCTTACTTCTCCTGGATTTTGTTGGTCGTTTGTTACGAGGTATCTATCTTTATTTTACACTTTTTGTTTGTGTGTATTGCTCCTGCACAAACTAAACTTGCAAAATCTTTTTTTTTTTTTTTCAGTGCTGTTTTGGGATGTTTGCTGCTAATGCTCTACCCTACGATTTCATCATTAGAAGTTGTCAACTTGAATCATGTTGGCTTAGCTAAGGTATCTATTATCTGAAGAACTTTGTGGAAATAACTCTCTTACTCTCTTTAGGCAGCTTGAGCATTTGATGTCATTCATAATCATGTCTTGGTTTAGGCACGAAAAACCACAATAAAATAATGAGATTGTGGTTCAGTTTTTTTGTGGATCACCATCATATTTGTAGGCTACCTTTAAAGGTCACCAGTTTCTATGGCCAATATACATCCTTTTTGGAAAGGGGGGATTTGCAAAGAAACGTTGGCAAAAGTTCAAGCTTCATGTTGCAGTTGTCTATCCACTATCACTAGATTGCTGTCACTATCAATAAATTGCTGAAAAAGAGAATCTAGAATGTGAGAAATTACAGGCTTTTTTATTTTTAGCATTTTGGTGCAGATGCCATCTGCGCCAGGTGCCGAATGGTTTGGGAGCCTTTCAATAGCTTGTTCAATACCTTGGTGTGAAATATTTAAATCATCCATGACTGAATCTAGAGTCGTGAGGTTAAGGTCAGATGAAATGGGATTTTCTTCTGTGAATACTGAACCAAAAAAATCATTTAGTTCTGTTGCAACACATGATGGTGAAAGTACATCATTCTTGGAAATAGACACTTGTGATGACGAAGATGATTTGGGGTTAATTACCTACCAAGTTTTTTTTTTTTCATTTTCTCTTAAGAGCATTGTTATATCGTTCTTGAAGAGAGTGTCTTTGGCTACTTCGATTTCTATCTTGCATTGCTTGGATTGTTCACAGTCGGGGTCCACCGACTGTTTGGCTTTCGAGTAAAGTCATTTTTTTTAATTTATGCAGCGTTTGACATGCAAGTTGAACCAGGTGCCCTGGGTTGACGCTTTCACTTTAGGGATGTACTACTTTTCTTTTAGTTCGGTTAGCTGCATCTGTACTAGATGGCAGTTTTCATCAGTTGTGCACAGCAACAAGGTGTGCGAAAATTCTAAAGAAAAAGACGACAACTTATTTATAATCATGTCAACATTAGCCCCCGTGTAGTTGTAGATTGTTTTCCTAGGCTTTTCTGGCTTTTTATTCTCTGTAGTATATTCACTATGAAGCACATTGTGATAACTGATATTGTCTAAAACATTCACAAGTACGTGATCGGGCTTGGCAGTCAATACAAGGTCTAAAATAGCATCACCGCGAGTCGGCTGTGCAACCATTTGTGTCCAATTGATCAAGGCTAGTGCATCAACAAATTCCTGACCATCGGACCTTCCTGCGCCACCTTCGGGTGTACACGTCCGCCAGTTTATGCCTGGGTGATTAAAATCACCTGCCAAAAATGTAGGGGACCGGGGATAGCTGCACTGTATGAGGCTAAGCGAATCATTCAGTTTTTCATTGAAGTCTGCTGGCAAGTTTGGCGAACGGTAACATACTCGGACGGTACAGGTTACGAATAACGATAACTGTAGTGCGGCCCATAAAATTTCAATGTTAGCTTCTGTTTCAATTATGTAAGCTTGGAAGCTGTTTTTTACAGCAACTAACACACCACTGTCCCTAGAGGCTGTTCTAGCTTTTCTAAAGATTCTGGAAATCATTCGACAGTTATAGCTCAAGGTTAGCCACATCCGGGGACAGCCATGTTTCTGTAGCAAGCACGACGTCGTCAGTGCAGCCCTCGATAAAAGAACGAGGTGGTCCTTATGAAAAATGCTTCTGAAGTTTTACACAATCAAAGATAAGGTTCTACTTCTACAATGCTGTTTGAGTCACGTAGTTGATGCAGGCGTGTCCCGCCTCGAAAGTGGGACTACCGTATTGTTCGAGTTATAGGTATACAGTTTGTTTCCTAAGAACAGTTAATCGAACTGCAATCTGTACTTTTCGTTAGGCTTACGTGTGAAGTCCCGAAGCCTTTTCCTAATGAGTTGAATTCGTGGTGAGAAATCTTCTTCCATCCAAACAAACGTAGCTGCAAGATTTTTAAGTTTTGACATATTTTGCAAGATGTTGCTCTTGTCCTTGAAATTCGAGAATTTCACAATAATTGAGTGATTTTTTTCTGGGTTTTTGTTGACCTATTTTGTGTGTACGTTCCATTTGCCAATGTTAAGGCCAAGGTTACGTAAAACGAACTCGCTTACAAGTTTTTCCGTGTCGTCCCTTTTTTCACCTTCGTGTTCTGGCACTCCTTTGAATATCAGATTATTTCGTCTCAGCCGGTTACATAGATCGTCAACTACAATACTAGCTTGTTCAAACTGTCTTTTGAGCCAGTATTTCGGAGATGAGTTTTGACTTCTTCAAGGACTCGGCCAAGTGCCGGCACGTTGGAGCTCTTGAGGTCAGCTTTTATGTCACCTAGTGCTGAGGTTATGACAGCAACACCTTCCCGAAGGATGTCTATATCTTTGGGTATTCTTTCTAGACTGGATATTCGTCTTTTTACATCTGTGATGCCTGTTTGCATATCCTTCAGCCTACCTGTTACATCCTTTTGAAATTTCTCGTTTGAAGAATCCAACTCCTTCACGAACGTTAGTAGCTGATCTATCTTATCCGGCCCTGGATTTGTCTCAACATCTCCAGCACGAACAATGAAATGCGACAGGCAGAACAGGACAAGAAGCTTAGTACCCTCAACCAAAAAACGGCAGATTGTTCTCGGCCAAACAAGTTAATGTATTGGAACATGTCTTTTTAATCATACGAAACAACCGAGTCGCACGTGGTATGTGCATAAATTATTACCCATGTCTATTTACTGAGTAATCACTCAATGGGATTGTTCTCGGCCAAACAGGTTAATGTGTTTGAACATGTCTTTTTAATCCTACGAAACAACCGATTCGCACGTTGTATGTGCATAAATTATTACCCATGTCTATTTACAGAGTAATCACTCGGTGGGATTCGTGACCAAAAATCATAAGGTTAAGTGGGTTACAAGACTCAATCTCGCCTAAAAGAAGCGAGCAGACTATGTTAGCATCAGTTGCCTGGCCGCAAATCCTACTGGCTGGTAGTTAACGCGGCTTTTTATAGGCTAGAGGCTTGAGGGCACTCTAGTTGTCAATGTTCTCAACATTATTGCTGAAAATGAGCTTGGACATTTTCATCTTCAAAATTAGAATGAATGTGTGTACGTAAATTATGTGTGATAGTGTGGGTATCTTTGTCCTCATTTTGTCAGCTCTGCCGTAATGTCCGACGGAGTCATTTGATTGACGATTGAATACAGGGGGCATTCCATGTCTCAGTGCAATATGTGGATCAAAATTGCCAGTTCTGCTTATTATGAACAGAGTAGGACTTTTTTTTACTGAGTTGTTTGTAGAATTGTCACTTGTCACAATCAGGTGTAGGAATTTAAATTGCATATTGTGAAAGGTACACAACATTCAAGAGCTGACCACGCATCATGCATTCATTACTGAAGTAGTTGATTTGTTTGACAGTGAATGTTCCGAGTTGTATTGAAGTCATGTGTGGTTATCAAAAAACCTTGTAGAAACTGAAATGCTGTAGTGTAGTATTGCTTCTTTACAGGTTATTGTGTCTGCTATCTCCCTGTTGTCGTTCGGTGTACCTACAGTGCCACAAGATTACCTGTTCTGGTGAGTTGTCCAATGAGGGTGCACAAACGCAGCTCAGTCAACTTCTGATAATTTGGCCTAGGTGAGCCATGCATAATTGGGGCTAGTTATCCGCAGTTTGAACTTGACTGTGCACTGATCAGTTTAATGAGACTAAAAATTAGTATATTTGTTTATTTCCTGAAGCTGTTGAATGAGTATCATTCTACTCCTCCAAACAAGTTTTGTAGCAGTGCTAGTACAGTAGAATTCTTATAATTTAAAATGGAGGATAATCAGGTGGATTCCTATACATAAATACGGACACAAGCAGCGAGAAGCACAATGAAAATGTTCATTTCTCTTCTTGTGTTCATGTATGCATGCCTTACTTCTATACGATGAATCCTTCCTAACAAGCGCAACCTTCTGTTGTTTTAGGCTTTATAGATTTTAATGGGTATGAATGATTTTAGCAGCTTGAACCAATGAAAGCCGAGTGCTGTTTTTGTTGAATAATCTTCCCGTTTATAGAAATTTAAGGCCTGCTTACAAATTTCTATTTTTGTAATCGTGTTGAGAGCTCTAGTAAATACAGGAGTACTTTTTCTTTTTCATACCACACTCTGTCTACTGGATTTACATGCTGAGGATGACCATTTGAGCCAAGCATGGTAGCAAACTGGTAGCTCCATCTGGGTCACTTGCTTCTTTTTTTTTTTCTCACACTTCAGGCATCCTACTAATAGTTTGAACTGTGGCTTTTGCACTTTGATCAGTAGTAAGGATTTTATGCATTTACAGACATGCCTTCCTGATAATGTGACTGATGCATGCATTGCTACTCACAGCTGGTTTTATCACGCATAGATGGTTAGTTATCAACACATTCAAGCTTCCAGTTAAGGTGTCCCTTTCAGGCATGTATTGATTGGCATTTGGTGTGATGTGTGAATCTGCTTCACACATCAGCATACAGGGGAAAAAAAATTGGGGCAACTTTTTTTTTTATCGGTTCTAATTTTACTTTCTAACCTCACTTGGTATTTGTCAAGTAGTAACTTCCTTTGTATCAAAGGATCGGGCACTTGTTTGTACTGTTATTTATTTCAGCCATAGTTTCATGCCTTTGAAGTTTACATTAGAAAGATTCTAAAGCATGAATAACGAAATTCTCCAGGCTTGTCTGCATGTGTAAAGAACCATTCTGCAGTGCAGCAGCCTGCTTCCTCTGCAGCTGCAGTCTGTTGCACCTCCTGGAGCTATTCATCATTACGGCTGTCATTCGAATATAGCAACCCTTGCCCACAGTTCAATGACTTGCATGCTGTTACATTGCTGTTATTGCGTACACACTCTGGCTAAAACTGGTCAATTTCAGCATACGTCAACTTAATTTCATTGGTTAACAATACTTATGAGTACTTATAGTGTGAATAAATGTTTGAACATTTCAGGGTCAAAACACTATGAGTTCTTTTGCTGTAAGAAAACACTGTGTGCCCTTTAAGACTTTGTCATTTACGTTGAAATGAATGATAAGACAAATTAACCAATGTCAAATTAACGGGAGTCGACTGTTCCGTATTCTGCAAATATAAGAGGGCTTGTTAATATTGCACAGTCACAACTATAGAAATTTGAGAAGCAGCCATGCTTTAATATTAAGCCATCTGGCAAACAATAAATTAGTCTGAGAACTGCCTCACTTTTTTTTTTTTCTGAATCTTCACAGGACAGCTCTGTCACTTCTTGCTGGCATGTTTGCCCCCAAAGTCGTCACTTCAGATGCTGACAGATGTGTCCTCTCCAATATTCGGCAGACGATGCAGCATGTCTGATTGGCCTGTCCATGCATTCTTACGAGCACATTTATATTGCGCTTGGCACTTAGTAGAAAAATTTATCACCTCAAGTGAAGGGCCCATTGAATTTCTTGGCCCTGAGCTTATAAGTTTACAAATAAGGTGCAGAATTGAGCACAATATTTTAACATGAGTAATTTAATGGAAATTGTTACCAAATCAGCTCGTTTTTAGGCTCTTAGTGTTATAATTTCTTAAATGGTTTTATGTGGATAATGACATGTTTTGTAGAACAGGTTTTGTAATTGTTCTATTATTTTATCAATGTTTTTATCCACTGCCATTGGCTTGCAACCCTCTGAGCTACTGCTGTCATTGGAATGTACCACGCAGTGCAATGTATGAGAGAATTAAGGAAAAGTAATTGTTAGAAATATAAGCATAAGCTAGCTCTCAGTTGCAGCAATACATACAGTTGAACTCGATTGAAGAAATGAATGGATGGATGGATTATTAACTTTATTGAGGTCCTTTGGCATGCGCAATTAGCGGACAGCGGACCACACACAGAGGTGCCTTGTCCCTCCGCTGCATCACAGTTCCGATGGACAGCCCAGAATTAAGGAATTGGGTAATGGGGATGCTTGAATGATTTAGTTGGAACGGGGGTTTTGCAAAATCACGAAAGGGATTTTTCGGTTTTTCAAAATTTTAAATTGTAATTTGTAATATAGTGGCACCCAAAATCTACCACGGCATTGTTTCTATTGTCAACTCATGCCTGCAGGTCTAAAAACTTATTGAGAGCAACCCAAGGGCAGCCTAGACATGAGGGATGCTGTGTCCGGGCAGTGCAGGTCAGGTTAATGGTCACATGCAGTTATGACTGCCTACTGATATGCGATGATGCAGAGAACAAATGCAGTAACTGTTTTCGGGGGCTGATAAAGGAAGAAATGGGAGGTTATGGTCAGTGCTTTCATTACATAGACCATAATAATGCTACCAGCTGCCAAGTCGATTATTCTGTGCATTGGCCTGGCGTGCAGCCTCATCAAAGCAAAGCTAGGGCCACATTACAGCTCCTAATGCGTTGCCATTAGAGTACACACTCAAAAAAATAAACATGCCTCTGTCAAAATTAGGAGGAAAGCACCACTTTTTCACTCTGTTATTTCAAAAAAGACTTTGTTAAACCTGTTCGGGTGGCCACATTAGTTTGTAGGTTTGTGTTGACGGCAACACTGGACCCTATGGTTATTTGCAAGAAAATAGAAATTTTTTCATTAGATTGCGAACTTTGTAAAATCTAGTTTCGTTTTTATACTGTATTTGTGAAAGCAATTCGTATTGATATGTTTTACTTAAGTGGCATTTTGTCAGAATATGTGACATACTGACGTTTGTCAAGACTGACTGTTTTGGATAAATTAATTTATTTGTATGCATTCGAGCACGAGCATTTTTCGAAATAGTCCCATTGTACAGCAACACAGTGCACCCATCATTCCGCCACGCTGGGAGTACGTTCTGGAAATTTTTCCCGAAAAAGCTGGGCACCATCTGCGGTTCGAGTTCTATGATAGCAAGCAATCTTGTCAAAATGGCTATTTTTTGGCGAGATTTACTATTTTGAAAAGAGCAATGTTAGCAGGAGACAAATCTCGCAAATAGGTTAAATGTGGAGGAGTAGCTGTGTAGTTGTGTTGCCTTTGGGAAAGTTGTGTTGCCTTTGAGGGAATTCCCTCATGTATAGTTTTGTGCAGAGTTCTCTGTTATAGGATGCATTGTTGTTGTACAATGTCCAGCTCCTTCTATGCTCCAGATCAAGTAACTTTTTTTTTTTCTTTTTTGCTAGACTTCCTCTCTTAGATGCTCTGAAGCATTGTAAATTACGCTCACTTTATGCGGTATGGTGATTCGGCACAAATTCCCTATACAAAATGCCATCAATATCTAGAAATACGTGTTTGCTTTTGTTGTGCTAAGTACTTGTTCCAGTTATGAAGATAACATTTTCCACTGCAATTGTATCATTAACCCTTTGATGCCCAAAATTTTGTTTAAATGCACAACATGAAGAAAACTCTGGCATGCATAAAGAAAGGTCACAATATGCCAGTTACGTTGTCAGAAAAGAATTATGTTTATTTATAGGTGAGTAATGAGGTGTTGCTCCTGAGCAACATTGGGCACTTGAGGCACTACTTCACGTGGAATGCCTTGAAGCAGTTGCGGCTTGGAAGGAGGTACAAGTGCATGTTGCACTTAGCGCAGTACAGAAACGTGTAGCCGAACTTGCAGAACTTGCATCGTTTTTTTTTTTTTTTTTCGCCGTACTGTGGCCAGTGGTTCATGCCATCGTACCTCACGTCCACTGTGGGTCCCGGTGTCACCGGAGAATGGATCAAGTGTTTGGCGGGCACGATTCCAGCTTCAGCAGCCATACCTGACCTTCTTTTCAAAGGATTTGACTTCAGATGTGCAAGGGTTTGGGCAATCTGCATTCGAAAAGCTAGCAGAGACAACCTTCTTTTGATAGATAGCTGGGCACAGTGGCATTTATACAGGAGCCACCCATTGACAATAGAAACATCCATCATCCAGTAAAAAATGCGCATGTACCATCTTTTCGATTTGTGGTCTGTGCGGGACAGCTCAATAAGCATGTCGGCGAGATCAACACCTCCCATGAAGGCATTGTACTCCTTTACGGCGAAAGGGCGTGGAACATCAATGCTGCGCTTTTCTTTGCTGTTCCACCGCTTGCAAAGGTCGGCTGGTTGGACACCAGCGTAGCTTGACACGAGGTGTACAGAGTTGCTGTCAAACCATTTGATGACTCCAATGTTAGAGTCCTCGTCCACGCGAAAATCCACCGAGCCTCTTCCTTGCGCCTTGAGAGTTGCGTCAGGTGCCAGCGGACACTTCTCTGTCTTGTCGACTCTAACGGTACCAACACTCAGAAATCCTTTGCGCTTCAACTCGTCTGGCGAGATGTTCCCGGAACAGCTTCAACAGGGTTGCTTGGCATTCCTCCGTCGTCGTCTTCTCGCGGATGTTGATCGCGAAGATTTATCACAACTTCGAGCGGACAGGAATCAATCAATTTTTTATCATCTCTAGGTTCATATTCCGGATCATCTGGGTCGCTGTCGAAATCAACATCGGATAATTCACCATCCGGAAGGAAGATTAGCTCCTGTATTTCTTCATCTGTCAGCCATTTCTTTTCTTTTGACATCGCCATCTATACATGAAAGACAAAAGAATATTGTCCAATAACTATCACTTATCGTATTTCGTAGAAATAAGGTTATGTTATTGCCTGGTTTTGCGTTCAGTCAAGCAGAGAAACGCAACAAGCATCCAACCCTATATCGGCTTGCACCTCCGCAAATGCCCGACGTTGCTCGTGAGCAACAGCATTTTTGGAGGGAAGATTTCTGACGCGTAAAATGCGGCCACACCATTCAGCCTGTTCATAAGTGTTCTACAACGCCTTATGCGCAATTTTGAGTATAACATAGCTCGCGGTAGCGTCCCATTCCGCTGTAGTAGGATAAATTTACTCACGTGTGCGGAGCTTGCCTTGCAAACGCTCGAACAAAGTACTAGAAAAAGGCGATGCTGCCATCTGTGTGTATTTCTTTGAAGCTTAGGACGCTTGGTAGACTTTGTCTCTTTCCACAGATGGCGCTAGCAGTATCACACAGCAACATGCTTTTGCGGAAAAAATTATTTTTGGGGTTGTTGCCCCAGAGCAACAGTGGGCATCAAAGGGTTAATATTGTAGGCAGAATCTTTCCTTTCAGCTTAGTCCATCGTCATCCTTTACATGAGATACAGGGAATTCACAAAATTTCAGTTCAGCTTATCCCGGCTTTCTTGTTTGAAAAAAAAAACTCTGAGGTCACCTTTTTACATGATTGTCAGATCAAGCTTAATTGAAGAGGATGCTTGACTTGGTCTGGATGTTGACTTACTAAACCTACTTTTCCCAAAGTGGCCGGTATGCTGGGAGCACTGGATTCTTAGGAAAGGGACCATTTCAAAAGTAACATTGTGGGAATGTATGTTCATCAGCTGCATTCTTCAAAACAAAGTCAATTACAAAACTCCTTGCTATTCCTTGTTTTTTTAAGCAGCTCAATTGTTATGTTGTGGGGACAGTTCTGGTTGTTTTATGTTATTGTATGAAATTGACATTATGCAAGAACATTGAACAAATGTCTTGCTTTGTTGTTTCCTTAAAAGGGCACTAAAGAGAAACATTGAGGGAAGCTAATCTGGCAGCTGAGACTTCAGCAATTACTAACTCACCAGGCACAAGTCTGCTGTATTGTCCCCTGCCGTGGCGGTTGCAATTTGATAGAAGTGAAATGGTAGAGGTGTGCATACTAGGTGATGTCAGTGCACATTAAAGGATACTAGATGGTCGAAATTGCCGGAGCCTACCACTATGGCATCTCTCATGATCATATCGTGCTTTTGGGACGTAAAACCCCAGATGTTATTATTACTACTATTATTTTTTGGTGTTGTTGTTTTATTGTTGTATTGTTCTGAGTTTGACAAAAGGCCGCTTAGTGAGGGCATATATTTTCTTGGAGATAAACACTTGTAAGAGAGAACCAATAAAAAAAAAAGTCTGATAATGGTCATGGGAAAGAACTATTGTGTGGACTGACAAGGCAGTTTGCAATACAGTAGAATCTCGCCACGAATTTGAAGAAAGCACACAGAATATTCGTATCATCCCCAATTCGTATAATCCAAAAACAAGTTAAAACAGATAGTGAAGACTTACAAAAACTTTATTGACAACTGCTTCTTGCTGAAAAAGTCACTGATATTTGTTTGAACTTTCCTTTATTCACCATCTTCTCTATAAAGTGCTGCAGTTTCCTCACTCATCCTGCTGGTGCGGCGGATTCACACTTGTCATCAAAGGGAACCAAAGCAGTCAAACTCATTGAAAATTCACTCACTTCACAGCGCTTAAGCAGACAGGGAATCGCGCCGTGAAGTCGACATGAAAAAAATTGGTCTTGGAGAATTCATATTGAGGAATTCAAGCGAAAACGTCAGAGCGGCCGGAAAACCATGTTCACGCCCATTGAAAGCGTTCACATATGCCACCGCTGACATCGCTGCTTGAGAATTTATTCCATTTTGCCCGTTTCCTGAGCATTAAAGTTTGTACCGAGTTCTGGTTATGTATGCAAAGCAGTGAGAGAAAACAGTTGATACCTTTACAAACGTTGTCTTGGAAGATACGACAGCAGAAACAAGAGTGGATTCAGCGGCGGCGACGCTTTCAGCTGGCAGTGCAAAAGCGAGACATGTTGGGACATGCCGATTCGCTGCTGCAACACTTTCTTCTACTTCCAGTGTTCTCAGTGATCTTAATTTAAAGCAGGCTCTCTATGAATGTGTCCTTGTCAAGGCAGTGAGCTTTGATGTGCTGCATGGGTAGTTTCCGATAGCGCCTACTCGATCCATTGCTGACGCCTTTACCGCCATGTTGAATTTGCGGCTAGTTGTTTGCATCGCGTGGTTCGAGAGCTAGAGCAGTCGGTGAAGCCTAAGCCAAAAGCGATCTGGTATCGCGGAAAAATTAATTTGGAAAAATTGGTCTCGGACCGATTTTTTTGCCTTGGCTTTTGCGGCATGTTTTTCCGGCCACCAAAGCGAGAAAAATTCTGCCGAGTTCTGCCGCATTCATTCTCTTTGAGGCCAAGAGTGAACGCACTTTCCTCCCACAAACAAGCTGCATTGTGCTGCTTGCATGCAGCAGTCAATCGCAAATTCCTATTATCCGCGGTGACTGGGGAAACCATTCGTGTAGCACCGAATCACGGCATTTTTTTATATAAAGTAGTCCATCCAAAACAACCTTAAAATTTGTATAATCATGAAATTCGCATAAACTGTAATTGTAGCATAGAGATTACACTGTATCTAAAAAAAAACGGTAATGAAACAAGCATGTAATGATGAGTGCTATTCGTAAGACAGTGAGGATGTAAAAGATGATGACTACTTGTGTCGTATTGAAATTTTCGCTCAATCACACAGTGACATGATAGACTTTCACGGGCGTTTTCTCTGAGCATGCTCTGTCATTGAAAAGTTCTGTTTCATTTTAATGTGTGCTGGGACTCTGTGGCTAATATTGTACACAGTAAAGTTTGAATCATATCTGTCACTTCAGATAAGATGAGCATGAATTTCTAAGGACAGCAGAGTAGAACTAATTACATTATAGTTTGCATGGTACATTACTAACTAGGTTATATGCTAGCTTTTGCAAACCTTTAAACACCCCTGTCCATCTTACAACAGTGCAAACGAACCAGAATGGCAAGCAGGTTAGGTGACAGATCACCATGTCTGCAAAGTGTTTAATGGTTTTTCGGTGCTGAAGCAGTTGAAATATTATACAGAAAAAATGCATGTGCTTCTCAGTAAAGTTGTGCTTTAAGAAGATTCAAAGTAGGCTGTGCTAAGAGCATCATGACCATAGCACATGGCTTCAGTTCAAGTGCTTGTGTAGAGCACATAAGACTGCATCTGGAAAGGGCCGCAAAGAAAAATCGGAGGAGAAAAAAAAATATCGAGAGGCTCATCACTGAATGGGATCGGTTCCTTTGGCTTTGACAAATGGGTTGCCATAGGGAAGGGGTACCTACAGACACTAGCGGAGTGGAAAAGTGGCCTCTCTCGACACATCAATGATGCTAGTGGAGATGAAAAGGTATGCTGTCTCTTGACACTACCGTGGTGCTAGCGAAGTTTAAAAGAGAGACTGTCTCTTAAAGTTTCATGGGCTAACTGGGCTAACAGAAAATCTAATTTCTTCTAACTCCTGCAACAATGAACTAATCTGTTAAGTACATTTAGTAAAATACTTTGTGTATGTCACATTACAACTTTTTATACGTGACAAATTTGTGAAGGGGCATAGCGAGGGCTTCTTTGACCTGTAGAAATTGAACATCACGGAAAGATGCGAGCATTATTGACTCCCTTGTTTGAACTTGCAAGAAGGAAACACTAGATGTTTGCAGATGTCAGTTGTCTGAAACATTAGATATTTGCTGATGTCAATTGTCTTTGGTTGAATTCTCATACGAAGTGTGCATGGTAACTTTGGCCTCGCTTCATGCTGCGATGTGCTGCTGAGGGCCTGTTAGTCATAACATGGCACATCGTCTGCTGCAGTGCATGACTGATGATTAATACTGGTTCTTCGTTATTGAGCAGTTCCAGTTTCTGTTTAAGGGAGCTCGAAAAACGAGCCGCCGGGTGCAACTACCGCCATCTAGTGTATGCAGCTCTCGACCACATCAACACTCGTAACTGTGACTCACTTCTCTACGATCCACGTCAAGAAGTTCTTTTGAACAGGAAACGGGACAGTAGTGACGCCAAACATAAAACATTCAAATAGTGCGGCACGGATATTGAAATGCAGCAGGCAATCAGAAGTACCGACTGCCGGAAGAAACGCGGCAAAAGAAAATTGTCGGCTATGACATCATCATAACTTGTTTTATTGACTGCTGTGTGGTGACATGAGGGAAGTAAGGGGGTCCCCATCGAGTCCCCTTTGGATGATGTGAATACTTTCAAAATTCAAAATTGCTATAAAAGACCTTCCAAGCTATATTAGCTGTTGATATTTTGCAGATGATTTACACATGTTTACAGGAATCGATCCCATAGGCTATCTCGGTTTCAAAATATTGTGTCAGTAGCCCTTTAAGATTAATGATTCAATTCTCAGTTTATTAAATGAGGAGAGACGTGTTGCGATTGGCGGAAATGACGCTGGCCATTGCTCGAGGTATATATGTCCGCTTTCTTGAAAGCACAAAATCGGCAACGCATTTCAGATGTTTTTCCACGAACTGTCACTAAGTGCAGCGTTACACTTTCAAATTGTCGTGAAATTACTAACTGAGGCACAAATGCAGCAACACTATCGTTCAGTCTATATATTTGGGGGGGGGGGGGATATTGAGACTTCTGCTAGCCTCAGGAGTCCTATTAAATGAGCTTACATGCCTTGATTATTGGACAGCTTCTTTTTTTTAATTTTGCTTTTCACCTTTGAAGCATGTGGCATGGTACTATGGCATGCTGGCAGTCATTCAGATATGAAATTGAGGAAAGAAGTTTGGTCTCAGTATAATATGAATTCACTTAATTGTGTCAAAAAATCGGAAATAGTTTTCACAAGTTGGCTTCCATGTTTCTCTTTTGTGCCACTTTAAGCTATGTTGGAAAATTTTGTTTAGTGATTTTAAGTGGGGTTTATCTTTTACTCTCATCACCTATCTGAACCTTTTGTCTCCACTTTTTGTGTTAAGTCTTATATATTGCTTGCTCAAAGTGCAAGCAGTATAAGCTGTAAAGCAGTATATGCTATAAATGCAAGAATTTTGAGTTGTAGTTTATCAGTGTAATATTGGTGCTATTTAAGAGGTGGCCCTTGAGGAAGCATTCCATTGGCTTCTGAAGTCGGTTCAGTTTGTGCATTCAGAAATCCGGGAGTGGCAGTGACTCTTCAGATTTCTTGTTGTTTCGAACCGTTTTAAGACCTTCAGCAAGTTTTTAAGGGCATCACAACTTCTTGTTTATTTTAACAAAGGGTCCCTTACTAGACTTGGCCAGTAAAAACAAACGAGGGGTAGTGCATAAATAGCTGTGCTACGCCACTTGTTTGTTTTCTAAATCAAATTGAGAATGTAATGGCCCGTTCAAGTGGATTACCCGAAGGGGTGGTCATTACTTACACGTAACATTTCCATCTCCAGATAGCTCATTTTTAATCACACAAGGGTTGGGAAGGGCTTCCCTACAGTGCTTTTTTGTAATTACCCTCAAGTTGCGTGCTTTGCCATCCATTATCAAAAGGGGCTTGCAGATATAGAAGTCAACAAGTTAATTTCTTTAGACAAGCTGTGAACAAGTAAACTTAAGAAATTAGTTGTTTTACAATGAACACAGGGGACTTTGGTATGCAGGAAATCGACTTAAATTCTCGCATTTAAGTTAATTATTGCCTTGAAATTCGTCCATCACAGGGCACTCACTGTGATGGGCAAATATTGCTAGTGTCTGTTTATGAAGCACCCCCTGCCTCTTTTTTTTTTCTTTGCTAGTTACTCGTGCCTGTTTTGGGGAGACCAATCTTTCGTAAAGAGGCATAGTGTGTGTCAGTTTTTCTTCATTTAATTTGTGTGTGACACTGCAGCTTTGAGTAAGACAGAGAATAATTGTTGTAGTCTGTGGATTATATTGCTATTTTTGTAGAAACTGTGGTATCCTTTGTGTTTGTTTTAAATATTCCAGCTGCTTTTTAGGATGGCGATATATACTTCTTCGCGTTTCATTAAAATTCAACAATTTGTGCTGCTGAATGATAAAAAAAGCGATGAAATGGCTTTTTAATCGTAATCCCAGATTATGTACTGTCTAATATTTATACTTTACCTCATATTGAGGTGTTTATAGGCCATGTAGGACAAAGGTATCTTTCCAAGTCATTTTATTGTAATCTGTGTTGTAACTACTCAAATTGTTTCCTTTTGTGCACATATACAGTTACAGTCTTCTGAAGTATTTTAGGAGGCACTAAGCATTGAGGCGGCTAACATTTGAAGTCGCACCTTGTATATGTACAGTTTGAATCTAGAATTTAAGTCCGCCTTTAACTCGAAGTGTGCCAATATTTTTATAAGTGATGCAAAAGAACAAGGGGTTTTGGAAGTGTAACCTTTGCAGCTCTAATATAATTTATTAATTGCAGTTTTCTTATTGCTGCTTTGTCAGGCTCTTGTGCTGTATTGCGTCCAGATGTCCTGTTGCTATCCTCGCTACGATCAGGAAGCTTTTTGGGGCATATTTATTTGTTGCAGTTTTTTTACATGTAAATGTTGGCAATTTTCATTGTTTTTAGTGCCTTTTCTTTGCTGGTTATCCAGATATTCCATGTTTACAGGCTTTAAAGCATTCATCATAACCTTTAATCATTTGTATTGTTACAGTTAAAGCAGTTTGTGTTGCTAAGGCTTAATGTGATAAGCTCAAAGTAAGTTGGCGTACCTAGAGCGTTGCTAAAGTACTTCTTTAAAGCTTCGGGACCCGGGAAAGCTTCTTCTATTCCATTTTCATGCACTGGGTTTTTGGTGCCTGAAAGCTTGTGATCATACTGTGAAACCTGTGTACCCTGGCTAACACGCTTTATAAAGCTGGTGTACAGCTTGTGCCATTTTTTGTTATTGAGAACTCTTTGTACCCTTGTGGTGTTAGAAATAAAAGTCTTCAGTTTTTATGATGTAATTTATACTGCTGCATCCTTTATAACAGCAGAGAATGCAAAAAGTAATTGGATGTTCGCACTCCTGGTTCATCTGCTTATGCAACGTGAACTTTCACCAGCTAGCCAACCAGTTGGCCATTTGTTAATTCTACATTGTGTAACCATCAAAAAAATACATATTTCTCAAAAGTTATTTATCAATTACCATTGCTAAGGCATTTCAATCAGAATGGCATGTCACAAGAAAACTGAACATTTTCATACACAGATTTAAGGGAGGCCATTAGCATTGAGCTTCTTTCATTGACATGTGCTCAGTGTACTTTTTCTCCTAGATTCTGCACTTTTATCACTGATCCACTTCTCACAAGTAAAATTGATTCACTTTTTATTTCTGTATTGTATTTTTGTATTTTATTTCTTTATTATTTGTTTATTAGGCTGTGCAATTTAACATCCCAAAGCAGCCCATGTGCTCTAAGAATATTATATTAAGCTTTGTTTCAGGATCATACATCTGATTCTATATAAATGAGTATTTTTGCAAATAAAAGCAAATCACACCATTAATGAAGTGGGCCAATTACAGCGTTTTGAGTGTTAGAGCATCGTGTTTCCACGCTGTGAACAATGCTTTAGTGCAGTGAAAATTCTGGTGATGGCTGCCATGCAAAGTGTCTTATTGCTTCAAGCAATCACTACACACATGCTTCTTCGACAGAGTGTCTGCAGGTTGTTGAAACCCTGAAAGTTGGAAAAACATGACCTGAACACATTATCGGAGAAGTACAGATGATTGCGCTCATCCTGTATGCCTTTTTTGTGTGTGTTTGATCCTTGGCAAAATTCAAGCCCTCGAAAATGTGCCAAGTAGCCACCAAACAGACGCTTCTTGTTCTGGAGACCCCTGAAAGGTCCAACAGTTCTTGTTTTTTCCTTGAAAACCCATGGATTTCATGAGCGCAAAATTCTAAAAATAATTTTATGGCCTGCTAACTGTGGTTAATAAGCACTGATTCCGCGATGTCAAAGCTCAAAACGGAAGCCAGAGGTATTTGGGAAGCAAAAATAAAGTGTATGTTCAATGCTAAAATTCAAATGAGAAAACACACAAAAAAGGGATGTAGAAAACTTATGCCACCTCCACTACTGTGAAACATGAAGTGCCGAGCACGGGCATCTAGTGATTTCCGTTTGTAGAGTTACTACTGTACCGTTTACCAAAGCGTCGATGACGCCAATGTTTCACGTAAGCATGTAGGGTTTCCCCGGCACGACCACAATCTTGTTAGAGGTATTCGCGAACTGTGTGCGACATGTACGCCATTTGCAGCATTTTATCGACGTCCTGCTTCTTAGGGCAACCGAGATACCCGTCGTCTGCAGGGAAAGTTCCATCAGGTTGTTTATTTCCCATCAGTTTTTCCCTCCGAAGCGTTGGCGAAGCATGGGGTAGGGGCATTCACTCGCTCGGCGAGGGAGTCGGCGCGCCCTCTCATGCGCGGCTGCAGAATCGGCCACCGGTTTCCTAAACGTTTCTTTAGCGATCTTTAGTTAATTGTTGAGATTACTTCTTGGTTATTTCTGTTGTATTTTAGACCATTTTCTTCATTTTAACCCAGTCTCAAGCATTGCTAGTCGAGTTATAGCCAAGCGCTTTACTGTTAGCGTGATCATGCCACATGAGATGCATAGATGGACAATCGGGGCCCCTGAAGTGCACCGGACTTCACTACCACCAAGGGTGGTAGGCACTCTCTCACGCACGGCTGTGGAATCGTCAACGTTTTTAGCGCTCAGTATTGGCCATAACAAGGCAATGCTATGCTCAATACTGGGTTAAAAAGAACGAGAAACTACAACAGAAATAACCAAGAAGTAATCTAGACAGTTGACGAAATTGTTGAGATCACGTCTTGGTTATTTCTGTTGTAGTTTAGGCATTTTTTATCCATTTCAACCCAGGCTTGAGCGTTGCTAGCCCTGTTGTGGCCAATATTGAGCGCTTTACTGTTAGGATGATCACTGGTCGGCAAAACTTGTGGAGCTTGCTCGGACTCACTCGTGAAATATATTTCGAGCTTTGGACTCACTCAGACTCGCGAAACTTTTCCCGAGCCGGGCTGAAACTCACGAAAACATTGCTAACTCGGACTCGCCACTCGATACGAGTCTGAACGAGTCAGAGTGAATCGGCTCGTGATTCTGTTAGTCTAGAATTAGTTTCATCACCCATGGTGTCAATACTCTTTAGTACAAATATCTCACGTAGTCTGTGTGCTGCTTGGCGCCGTCTGACATATAGTATCTTTGACAATGAGTTATGAATGCTTGCAAACCAGTAAGGCCATTTTCCTTGGAAGAGATGACAGCTAGCATAAAATGTATTTATCAAGAACTTCCCTGGAAGAGTTGGTAAGGGCAGGGGGAGGCCCCGCCGCGGTGGTCTAGTGGCTAAGGTACTCGGCTGCTGACCCGCAGGTCGCGGGTTCAAATCCCGGCTGCGGCGGCTGCATTTCCGATGGAGGCGGAAATGTCGAGGCCCGTGTGCTCAGATTTGGGTGCACGTTAAAGAACCCCAGGTGGTCAAAATTTCCGGAGCCCTCCACTACGGCGTCTCTCATAATCATATGGTGGTTTTGGGACGTTAAACCCCACGAATCAATCACGAATCAATCAAGGGCAGGGGGAGGTCAAGCCCCCCTCCCCCACCTTCGTGATTCGCGTCTCTGATCAATAAATATTGAAATGGTGTATGAATGACACTGCTTTGGAGTACCTGTGAGTAAATGCGTGTTGTTGGGACTCCGGGTCCTGCCGGTCTCGTTTTCGGTAGCTGGCCCCGTCGCAGGATCCATCGTCCAACAATTCAGCGAAAGAAGTGCCCGAACGAACAACAGAGATTTATTTACATGTGGAGAAGTGGTCAACTGACCCAAAGAGAGAAGAGTGCGTGCGATACAAAAACGTCTTCGGCATTTTATAGCGCCGCGCCGTTGACACTGGGCGCCTTGTCCGCATCGTCAGCCAATACTGTGTCGCCGGCACCTCGGCCACGAGGGAGGGGAAAACACCTCTCACAACACAAGGAGTGGCACAACCCAACACGAGGTCCATATATGGTCCCGGCGCCCCAAAATGTTACCAAATATGGTCACGAACGCACAGCAGACCCCGTAGCTCTCCCGGCGAGGAGGAACCCGAATGGGGAGGTGGGGGTGGACGACACCGTCAGGTCAAGAACCGGTTCTCCCCCAAACTCTCCCTGCTTGGCTCCCCAGGGCCGGTCGTAACAGTGTATAAACGTGAAGGCAGCAGTTAGGCCAGCAGTAAATGGCTGCGAAGCGACGGTGGTGAGCTGAAGACCCCGTGTACAATGATGAAAACATTTTTGCTTAAATTTACCGAAAACAGGGAGGGTCCCTATTCCTGGATACCCATGACAACCTCTGTGACAGCCGGGGCCCGTGAACGAGCGCCCGACAGGCCTTGGATGCGTCATCGCGAAGAGTGCCTTCCCACTGCTCTGGAGAACAGGTGGACCGAACGATCGGTGTGAGGGGAGCCGAATATGAACGTGAGAATACTGAGGAATGAGAAATGCAACGGCGGCTGTGAGAAAACGCCGAAGCAGGCCTACAAAGATTGGTATTGGGCTTTCTCCAATTACGATGTGCCCGTAAATTTCCGAGAGGTGTGAACTCTTGGTTTTAGCGTGTGGTCTGTGGAGTTTGGAAGTCTGTGTCGTGTCTGTTACTGTGGCCTAACTCGAACCTCTCTTAGCTTTAGAAACAGCCTAGCATCGCCTAGCTATGATATACGCAACCAGGATAGTCTTCAGAACCGTCCAGATTCTCAGTTTCAAGCCTTACGCGACTTAGTGCAAGCTTCGCCAATTCTGCTTTCTTTCTTTCTTTCTTTCTTTCTTTTATACTTCGATAGCGGCTGTCCACGGAATGCTGCCTTCGGGCTCAATCGGCGTGGCGTATTTGTCATGTTCTTCCCAGTGTTAATTAGCTAGCCTGTAGAACGGGTCAGCGAAACGGCCATCACGGGATTATGGAAACACAGATCGTCCAGCAGGTCACCTAATTGGGGGGGGGGGGGGGGGGGCGAGTTTCTATGTTATAAGAAGGAAAAGAAAAGCGAGCCCTGTAACTGTCTTTTCAGGGAGCGACACCTCAACAGTAGCTCACAAGGGATGGGGGTGAGGAGGGATTAAGAGGATAGGAATAAATGTATAGAGAGAGAGAAAGAGAGATGCGCTAATCCAGCGAGCAAGGGCATATCGAGGGGATAGGAGAGATAGGAAAGATGGAAACACGGTCACAGGAGTCCGAGGACGGGGCACCACTTGCGAGAGCTCTTGTCGGCATCAAGAGATGGCGTAGAGCAAGTCCAGTCAGTCAGAGCTACGCTGTCGTCGGAGGTCGGCGTCAGGAGATGACGTAGGGCGAGCCCAGTTGGCCAGAGCTACGCTGACGTCGGAGATCGCGAGGGCACAACTGGTCGGCACGCCCCGCCGCGGTGGTCTAGTGGCTAAGGTACTCGGCTGCTGACCCACAGGTCGCGGGTTCGATTCCCGGCTGCGACGGCTGCATTTCCGATGGAGGCGGAAATGTTGTAGGCCCGTGTACTCAGATTTGGGTGCACGTTAAAGAACCCCAGGTGGTCAAAATTTCCGGAGCCCTCCACTGCGGCGTCTCTCATAATCATATGGTAATTTTGGGACGTTAAACCCCACAAATCAATCAACAACTGGTCGGCAAGAAATTCAGCGAGGGAGTCCAGGTCGCTTAATTCAAGCTAACATCTTGCGGGTCTGGGAGTGTTCGCCCTCTCCAAAATAACTCCTACCAGCTTCCTCAAAATTAACATAGTCAGAACTCCCGACCTGGAGAAACAGTTGGCCATCGTTTCCTGGGCTGAAAGAGTCGCTTCCCGCATGGAGCCAATCTGTGGCGCCAAGCAGGTGACTTGGACAAATAGAAGTTAATACCACCACCAGTAGGCCTACAAG